GGAGTTTATGAGGGGTTACTAGCTTACACAGGGTAGTCAGAGAAATGTTTTTTTTGGTGTTTTTTTTTTTTTTTTTTTTTTTTTTTAAAGCAAAACAGACTACTAGCAGTTTCCCCTAGTCAGGGAACAAGGGCAAAGGACAGCCATTTGCTTCTCCCCTAAGGCCCCTGCCTTGTTGCTGAGAAGCCCAGATCGTACAGACACTAGGAAATACAAAGAGGAAGAAGGGGGAAGACAGTGTGAGGAGGAGGGAGCACACAGCCAGGAGGCATACGCAGCCGGCAGCCTCAGAGATCCCAGCTGGAGGAAGACTATCCTGGCACCGAGGTCTAATGGTTGTCCAGCTGCTGCCCCAGGATGTGAGGGCAGGTGGTGACGGAGAGCTGGAAAGACAGGAGGGGAGGGAAGTCCCCCCACAATCTGGACTGCCAGGAAGAAGGGCTCCTCCAGGTGACCTGTTCCCTATACTGCAGTCAGACCCAGTTAAGCAGGAGACTACCACCTGTGCCCTCCTCTCTGCCCTATACCACTGCCCTTCTGGCCCGCTGGTCAGAGATGCGACAGCTGGGTCCTTTCTTCCTGCAGAATATAAATGACTCCCCTTCCTCCCAGGGCTGGGAATAGACATCAGATGGCACAGCCCACGCAAACTGCCGGCTGTCAGCACGCCTGCCTGCCCGCCCACCAGCCCCCGCACCACCTGGGAGGAGGCAACACCTCAGGCAGGCTCAGGCTTTCTGGCATTGCCTGGATCCTCTGAGAGCAAGCTGTTGAACTTTACCTGGCCCACCCTGTGGAGACAAGATGAGCCCCCCAGCACTGGCCTTGATGAGGAGAGAAGAGATGGAGTCCCTAGATCCTAGTGACCCTAGTGAGAATGTCTTCCTGCAGCCCAGTTCAGGGCTTCCAAGTTCATAGCACACTGGATCACTTGAGAGAGGAGGGAAGGCAGTGAAAGAGACAGGAATGGACTCAGAGGCCTCCGTTCAGTGAGCACTATTTAGAGAGCTTCTGGGAGATGCTATCTCCCCCTGGAAAACCATGGTTAGAGCCACTGAGAGGACACATGCCTTCTGGTGTGCTACTGAGTCACACCAGTCTTCTTGCTTCTGAGCCACCTGGAAAGGAGGCCTTAAATCTTCAGAACACCTGGGGCATCCATGGTGTACTGACTGGAGTAACCCCTCTCCCGTCTCTGGATTCTGAGCTCCAGCCTCTATACTGCACATCTCCCAGAATTTTTGGTGGGCTCTATCTCCCACATAGAAAGCTGTAAGGGCAACTTCCCTGGCTCAGCAATCTTTAATCATTACAATCTATGGAAGGTCCATCTCTTGGTCTAAGCTACAGTACAGCCCTCACCACTGACAGCCGTTTGGGGGAACTTTTCAGTTGGATCAAGGAGGGGTCTCTTCAGGGAAGACAGCCCAGCTGGTACCAAATTCATCCTGCTGGCCGGGGACAACTAAGAAAAGTTCAAATGATAAGAGGAGAAGGGCAACCTGGGAGACTTCATTTTCCTTGGATCCAAACAGCCCTATTCCCTTTCCTTTATTTTGTTCTAAAAGCTGCAGAAAAGTTCCAGGAAGCAATGTGCTAAGTCAACACTCTGATTCCTAAGGGCAAAGCATAAGATGCCCAGAACTACTCTGCCCTGAGAATGGATGCTATGGAAAGAACATACCCAGGCTCTGAGGCCCACCCCCCAGGGGTAGGCTTAAGGAAATTCTTAGTTGAGCTAAGGAGCCCAGCCAAGAGCCAAGGGTTTGGTTAAGGCCAATGCCTTTCTGTTCCTCCAAAGAACTTTAAAGTGACTTTAGTGCCTTTACTATCTCAGAGTCCAGGAGACCCTTACCTGGGCCCCTTTCGACAGTTCCTGACCTTGTATCCTGAGAGGCCAAATCCACACAGATTTCTGAAGGGCATAAGAATAGACCTACTCCTTCAGGAGAATAAAGGGAAAATGTTTGACAGAATTACATCTGGAGTCTGCTAAGTAGTCCACATGGTCTATAGCCAGGAGGGTACTTGGTGACATTGCTCTTCCAGATACTGAATATTACAGATGAAAGAAACTTAGAGGTTGTTCAGAAACATTCACTTCACTTTCAGATGAGGAAACAGAGATCCTAAGATATGGAACTTACCTAAGGTTGATTGTACAACAGGGCCTAAGAGGACCATAAGACTCATGGGCTCTCCATCCCATTGCTTTCTCAAAAGGGACCCCAATATCCATGGCTGTCATTGATAACCTATAGGAACTCAAATGTTTATGAGGCACATAGGTAAGAAATCACCACCATCACCATCACCACCTAATACTTCCGGCTCCCATCAAGAGTAGGGGCTTCAGGATGCAAGTCCATCACCTTCCACTTGCACCTGGTACGTGTTCCCATTTGGGTCCGCCACATCATCCCTCAACAATAGCAGCTTGGGTTTTTGCATCCTGTGGCTCAGCCATGAAGTGCAAAAACTCATCTACTTCTGAAGTGAGTCAAAGGTCATCAAGGAACCACTAAAGTCCAAGGCAAGCATCCCAACTAGATTTTGAGTTCAGAGGCACTCACATTTCCACTTTCTTCCTTGGCAAGTAGGAGCTGGAGATCTGGTGCATGATCACCAGGGCTGGGTACAGCGGTAGTGCCAGGCACAGGTACCAAGCTGCACCTTTGATCTGGGCCTGAAACCACACTGAGTACATGCCCAATAGCACTGTCACTGTAGCCATCAGGTAGACCACCAGTCCACATGTCAGATGGTAGAGCTTGAGGCGAGCCACCCTTGAGACTCTGGCAGCCCTGGGACAAAGGAGGCAGAGCCCGCACAGTGCCTGTCCACAAGTAGCCAGTAGTGTAAGAGCTCCTAGACAGCTGTGCCAGGACACCAGATGGGACAGCTCGCTGCGGATCTTGCTGGAGATGATGAAGCCCAGGCCCAGGCCAGCACAGAGGATGGCCACAGTCTGCCCTACCCAGTGGAGTCGGATCCGGGCCTTTCGAGAGCAGAAGAGGAACAGGGAGTGCTCAGGTGAGAAGAGAAGGATAGCTTCAGCCATGCAAAGACAGAACTGTAAACACAGAAGAAGGCCAGTAAGCCTCTAGTCTGCATGGAGGCATGAGAAAAGGTGTTAACAGAGGACTAAGGGAGGAAGCCTAAAGACCTTCTGAGACTTCCCACCTCATATGTGTCCTTTCTCGATCAGCAGAACGGCCAACATTAAGCTTTCTCCTGAATTCTGGGGCCAAGGACATGATAACACCCCTCTTCAGTTTTTCCTTTCAGGCCCCACTGAAGAAGTATCTTCTATGCTCTCCCAGGCTTCTCAACCACCTGACACTGTACTTCACAGTCCCCAGTCCCATAGGTTGCAGGTAAAGATGAAGCCCTATTTCCCCCACCTTTCTGACCCTTAGAAAGGCTGAAGTGGCATGCTTTCCCAGGGGTTAAGCTAAGTATACCCAAACTCACCGCCAAAGCCATGAACACAGGGTGCCAGGAGAAAAGACCTAAGAATCAAAGAGAACAGGCTGAAGGCTGGGTCACCACTGATGCTGCCCGATGATTAGGTGCAACACAAAGAACCTGGCCAGAGGGGAAAGGTCAGGATACCATCTCCAAGCCTAATCAGGAATCAGGAACTTGGGGAGGGGGAGTAGGGGAGTGGTCGAGAGGCCTTAGGATGGACAACCAAGAGGTCTGCCCGGCAAACAATCACTTTAGCCTCAGTTCCCTGTTTGCTGCCAGCCTAGTCTTAGAGTAGATCTCAGCTTCCCTCGTTCATGCCTACCCTCCATCAAGCGCCCAGCTTCCTGATGAAGTTATCAGTCCCATCGTTTCAGAGGTCCACCACAGAAAGCCCCACCCTTCCAGGACTTCCCGGGCCCCGGCCCACTGGGTCTTTACAACCTCTTTAAGGCTCGGGGCGGGGGGGGGGTCCCCCTTTCGATTCTCTCAGCGCTACCAAAGTGGCCCCTCCAGCATCTAGGCTCCGCCCCCTCTCATCGCCCCGCCCCGCCTCTCGCACACTCACTGGTTCCTGGCCGGGACAGCACAGTCAGAAAGATGGTGAAGCCCAAAGCTACCAGGTGCGCCAAGATCCCACTGCCTCTCCGCAGCCAGCGGGTCAGTCTCGGCTCCCTCGCTGGAGTGGGAACCAGACCTACCTCCAGGGACTGCATGGCAGTGCCAGGCCAACCAGCACAGTCCAGCTGCCAGAGGCTTCTTCCGGGTTTGCGATCGCGGAGGCGGCGGCGGCTGCAGGAGAGGCTCCTCCCCCGGGATGCTGCGGGCTGTGTGGCCGAGGCGCCCACAGCGCCCTCTGTAGACTGGGGGGGAAGCGCCTCAGCCCCATGGGGCGGCTCCCGGAAACCTGCACCGAAGGGACAGGCTCCACAACCCACCTTCATTTGGATCTTTGTGTCTACAAGGGTATCTATCTCAAGCAGCCTGCGAAAATTACATCGGTAGTAATTGATTTCATTGACACCACAAATCACACACTTGGTTCCCTGATACAAGAGCGTGAAACCAGTGTTTTGAGCAGCTTTCCAAAAATACAGTATTTCCACCCCCCTGCCCACTCTCCTGACATCTCTTCTGGCTTGTTCATGAAACAAGACCTCCCTGCCTAAACATGAAAAATAAAACGAAAAGACAAAGCCAAAACATAGTAACCTCTACCTGGTGAATCCAGGTATGAGGACCAAAAGATGTAGTAGCCACCAATCTCATCTCTATTTGTGTTGTTGTCCCTAGTGAGATACTCCGAAGATCTAGGGCACCCTGAGCCCTTGCTGCCACAACAGTTGTGCAGCCTTGAGGAAAAATATAATCCTGAGGAACCAGGGCCTCCCACAACCCCAAGTTCTGCATCCCAACCACCTCCAAAGAGCTGTGGTCCAGCCAAGGGACGGCTGCCTGAGAGAAGCATTACACAGTCCTTCAGGACAAACCAACAGGCCAGGAAGAGATCAAAACAAGTTGTCTAGCAGAAATGAAGGACCACTAGAGCAGTAACCTCTAGAGTTCAAGCTCCCTACATGGCTGAGAAACCAAGGCTGCTTTAAGAAATGGGAAAGCCAGATCAGGCAGAGACTGAGGAAATGACATTGCAAGGGACAGAGGCCTAGAGAGGCCAGAAAGACAGAAAAAGGCCATAAGCCATCTCTCACACACCCTCAGGACAAAGACCCCAAGAGGAGAGCCCCCTTCCTGATGGAACCACAGTTGTCTGTAGTCAGGAGTCCCTGGGTGCCTTGCTCATTCAGAGCCACGTCTTATTGAAAGAGCCCAGTGACACGAACTTGTTTTTTGTGCACTGTGTGTGCATGTGCCCATGTGTGCATGCTGGAGTCTGCCTGCCTATCCTCTCAGGGTTTGAAACAGTAAAACACTCATTTTGCTACATTGTTTTTCTTCCTTTTCTATGTTTTTGGTTTTTTATATTTTCTTAGCAGCAACACAACAGGGAGACAGTCTTGAGGTATTTTAAAGAGTTTTTTTTTTTTCTTAAAAAAAATAATATAAAGTTATAAAAAGCGACAGCAGCCTGGAGCCCAGGTCTGGAGGGGAGGAGGTGCTGGCGGCTCCGTTGCGGTGGGCAGGCACTTTCCTGTTAATGGGCTTTTGACTGCAGAAAGACAAGAGGTAAGAGACGGTCAGGGTGGGGGTCATTCATCCTTCCCAGTGAACACATGGCTAACCCTTGAATTCCTTCTGCTGGCCTGGTAACAGACTGTGCAAGGGGAAGATGAAGGCCAGCCTAACAGAGGCAACCTGGGTAGTGGAGCCAGGGAACACACATGGGCACACCTATATACACACGCCAGCTCTCAACAACTGTCAAACTTCCCCTACAGGTGCCAGGAGAGTTGGCATGCACCTAACCCATACCTAACCCGGGAGAGTAGCCTCCTGTCCCACCTCCCAGAAATCACACAGATAGCTCAAGGCAAGACCTGACAGAAAAGGTAAATAAACCTAGCTGCAAGCTTTACTAGAAACCCTCGAGAACCTGATGTCGTCTGAAAACCTGAGTGTCCCATATGCCTAGGTGGGACTTGGACTGTGTACTTGCCCTTCAATGTCCTCATGCCAGAGGAAGAACCAAAGACCTAGACCAGCTGACCCACCCAGCTACTCAGCATGTTGGGACTCAAACTCCCTTCAGTTGAGGAAAAATAGTCCCAGGTTCTGGAGGGAGGGTGACAACCAATTCATAAGTGGTCCCTTGACTAAAGCAAAAATAGAAGTAGGATAGAGCAACATGTCCTGAGCCCAAAGGAGAAAACTGGGGACAGGGACAGGCTCATTAGGCAAAAGCTAGGGTCACCTTAGGTAGAGCTGACCTAATCTTCCCTAAAGTAGGTGTTCCAGAGTTCTCTCTGTTCCCCCTTTTTTCCCTTCTTTGTAGTCATCGCCTTAGCACCTTCCCCATCTCACACACCCACTGTGTTCCCCGGCCTCAGTCCTCCTGACCCGAGTTCTTCAGGGAGCTGGGCTGGTACCTTCAGTGTAGAGCACTTCTCCTCAAAGGCCAGGGCTGGACCTGGCTTCTTGCGACGCACAGAGCAAGCCGCATCAGCAGGGGCACCAGCCTGACAGTGCTTGGCCTTCACTGGCCGGCAGTAAGTGGCCAGGTTTTTCCGCTTCTTGGCTACCTCATCCTCAGAGAGGCAGTTAGTCGGTAGGGCCTTGGCTGGGTATCCAGCTGTGCCCCGGTTCTCTAGCTGAGAAGCCTTGACTGGTATAGGGGATGAATGAGGGGACCCCCGACAGTCCAGGGGACCTGCTCGTTTCACTCTTGGCCCCACTGTCCCATTAAGTCCCATGCCCAGGGCTGTTTTAGTCTTGGCTGAGAGACCCCGGCAGCCAGAGGGTTTGCCTTTTCCAGCAGGCTCCAGGATGCAGGTCCGTTTGAAAGTGGTAGGGCCAGGGGACAACTTCCGCTTTCGAGAAGGGGCTTCCACCTCCGCTCCATCCTTGCCTTTGGATGACTTGCTGGCTTTCGATGGTGGCAGCTTGCTGAAGGACGGCGATGGTGTATTGGCAGGTAATGGTGAGGTGATAGCTTGGCTACCGCCCATGCACTCTGCCTGGCTGCAGGCAGCTGCTACACTGGGGGAGCCTGCAGGGTAGCTAGAGACAAGGCTGTCCTTGGTGGGGGGTGTGGAGGCTGGGCAGGCAGGTCTGGGGGCTGGGCCTGGAAGTCGGGGGCAGCTGCTCATAGAGGATGGGCTTAGGGGATCAGATAAAGGGGAACTGACAAGATGGGATGGAGGTTCAGCCGCTGGCGGGATCTTCCTGCAGCAAAAAGAGAGCCCTACCATGATTACCAAGCAAACACCAGGGCCTCCCCAACACACACCAGTCTCTGTGCCTTCAGAGAAACTGGCAATGTCCCAGAGCTGCTGCCATCTGCTGGGAGACACTGGAACTGAGGGCTGAAGAAGGCACTAGAAGGAATGACCTATTACAGTATAAAAATATGAACTAGTGTGTAAGACCAATAACAACTCATTTTTGGCCTCAGTTTGGGCATTCCCTCATCCTACATTACCTGAAAGGTACTGGAAGTGATGGATAAGAGACTAGATTCAACCTCATACCACCCATTCACACCCTGTCAGGACTGCCAAGTCTCATCCTCTTCATGCCACACCCCGTCTGGGGTCTTCCTGGCAATCAGCCAAAGCACACCAGAGAATATGTGTGAAAGGCTGGGGCCTATGAAGCTCATCTACATCCAGCCTGAGAAAGGAAGTTCTGGGTCCATGAAACTCACTTCCACATGTGTGAGCTGAGGTGCCGTTCCAGCATGGAGCTGAGTGCTGAGCAGAACCGGTCCAGCCGGCGGCTAAACACATAGCATCCTGGGCTCACCAGTCGGCTTCCAAAGGTGCAAAACTGGAGGCAGAAAAGAGGAACAAGGTTGGTGGGGCCTGAGGTGCAGGAGGGCATCTGCACATAGACTTGGCCTCCTCCCTATACACTGGGCCAGGAGGGCTGGGTCACCCTCCACCCCAGGTCACTGCCCCACATCCTTACCGCCTGTGGTCTTGGGGGCCGGGTTGTGTAATGGCAGTCAGGGGAGAGGTGGAGGTCATCAGACAGTCCCTCCTCTTCACTCTCCTCACTGGAGGCCTGGGTGCCACCCCGGGGCAGAGGGAAGGGGAACAGGCCCGGATCTCCATCACCACCACCACAGGGACCTTCATCATCTAACTCACTCTCAGAGGAGGCCCGGGACCTGGAAGGGCCAAAGGGGATGCAAGGATTATATAACTAAAGTGGATGTTCCTGAATCTACCATGCTCAAATATTCAGCTGGGGCAGACACACCCTGCTGGATAATCAGAGGAAGAGGAAGGGGGAAAGGACAGGAAGATGTGATAGAGCTCAAAGAGTAAAAGGGCTACAGCTCCCAAGGGATTCTCTCTCCAGGCCCTTCATATCACAGGGACTGCCTTCTCAGGGGGAAAATGCTCCAGATTTGCCTTCTCCAGAAAATCTTCCAAGGCTTAATGGTACCCAGCTCTGGTCAGCCCAGTCAGCTCTCTCAGGCCCCTTCCTGCATCACAAATTCCTATGAGCCTGTCTGGGCGCTAAGCCTGTTTCATGTCTGTCTCTTATGTTACAGGCAGATACACATGTGTCTCCTTAAGCAAGGCAAGCTCTCCCCATGGTGCAGCACAGCCTATGCACATGAAGGGGCTAGTGAATGGATGGATACACAGTAGTACTGCTTCACCCAGGACCCTGACCCTTTCAACTCCCTGATGACAAGTGTTGATGGTTTGGAGTAGCTGGGAAAATAGTCATATCATAGGTATTGAATCTGGCACATCTCAGAGAGGCTGGGGTACTGTGGCATGCTTGGGCAGGATCAGGGGAGTCACCTGCCCCAAACCACTGGCAGAGGCTATGGTATCCTCCCACACTTAGGGCTGAATAAGCACATCTTCCAGGATATTCCCTGGGCCTGTCTCCAGGGGTCCCTGATGGCTTAGGGGCTGAATATCCCCAGGTAAAGTGGGGGTTGGATTCTGGACATACCTGGGAAGTGCACAGTACGGGTAGATCTGCTTGGAGCGAGCAGAGAAGGTATTGTTGAGAGCAGCTGCTGCTGCCATACCCTGGACTACAGAGGGAGGCTCCTGGGAGGGGCGCTCAAGAGCTGGCTCCTTGCGCCCTGGGCTCTTCTCCTTGGGAGACTCTCCTTTGCGGGAGTTGGCCTTCAGTTCTGCCACAAGCACATCAAAGTCTTTGGCGCGGCCCTGGACTTCCCGACGCTGATGCACTGAGTGGATCTGGAACACAGAAGGAAGAGGACTAGGGAAGAGGTGTAAGCTGAGCAGGGGCAAGGGGCAGTGAGTGAGAGAGAGAGAGAGAGAGAGAGAGAGAGAGAGAGAGAGAGAGAGAGAAAGAGAGAGAGAGAGAGAGTCTCGTGTGTGCTTGTGTTTACTCCCTCATGGGGCTAAAATCTTCTGTGAGATACAGGAATCCAGAAGGTACACCCTGCCTGCTGTTCCTACCTTATACCCACTGTTGGTAGCCTCTTTCCTTTTCCCTAGAGTAAACCTAGCCCTGTTCCTTAATCTGGGTTTCCAATAACTTCAATAACTTCTAAATCCTCCTCTCCAAGCTTCTGTGTCTATGCTAAGCCCCCTGCCCTCCATTGTGAAGTGAGAATGGGAGTTACCTTGCAAGTCAGTAGGCGGGTACAGATCTTTTTGGTCTCTGGATTTATGACCCCACACTGCCTGTTGAGGTCAAACTCCTTTCCTGTGGGGAAAGAGGTTCCAATGAACCTTAATACATTTTTTTCCTACCAAGGGTCCAAGCAGCAACAGCATTAAGGCAGAAGAGCCTCCCTCTTGGGTCTGGGGCTCCACCTTCGAGACAAACACTTCTGGGCATCCACATCTCTGCTGGGTGTGAACCATCCCCTACCCCATGCCCAGCCCAGGAACTGCTAAAAGACTGTAAGTCCAAAGCTGGACAGCCTGCCATCAAGAATGAAGTAGCCACAGGCATCTGGGATGCCAGGAAAACCAGCTGTGGAATGTGAGAAAAGAGATAACAGTCAACAGTGCAAGGTAAGAAAGAATGACTCTGCCTGCTTGGATACAGGCTCTGTCAGCCTAGCTCAGGAAACTGGGACTAGAAAAGCCTCCTGGGAGCAACTAGGACAGAAGGTAATGAGACTTCTGTTCCCAGCAGGCTGCAAGGGCCAGGTCTGGACAGGCCCACTCCTTCCTGACCTCCAACCCTTCTAGCCCAAGAACAAAGCAGCCCAGTGAATTCTCCACTCTGCCTTCCTGACCTCCAAGACCATGACTACTCACGAGCCATCTTTCGGTGGGTTTTGGGGGGCAGCCTGGCTCCACCAGGCTCCTTCTCTGGGGGGCTGCCTTCGGCCCGGTGGCTGCAGCCCTCACCAGGTATCAACTCCATGTTCTCTCTGCCAGGAGGTTCTTTAGGAGGAGGAGCCATGGGGACTTTTCCAGGGGAATCCTTGGGGAGGCCTCCTGGCTGACTGAGGAAAGCAGAGGGTGGGGCCACCCTGATTCCATGTCCATCAGGCTTCGGGAGACTGGACATCTTCTCCAGATTCACCACAGGCACGAAAAGGCTACACATGGAGAGAGGGTATGGGCTGGGAAGTGGAGAGACTGGGCCTGGGGTCTGGACTCTAGCCCAGAGCCATCTCCTCCCCGGCCCAGGAACTTGGGTGGGCTCCAGGAGAGGCGTGGAGAAAAGGGGAGCCCATGTTCCCTGGAATACATGAAAAGGAGCTGCAGATGGGCCTGGCAGTTTCGTGCTATGAGTAGTATCCCTTGCCCAAGGCCAAGGGTCAACCCTTCCCTGGGTCAGGTTCAGGGGCAATCTTGGGTAATCTCCAGCCTCTTCTTACCAAAGGTTGTCCTTCTGGGTCTTCTCAGGAGGCTGGTGGCCACGGCTCCGGGACCCCTGGCCCTTCTCCCTGGAGGAGGTTTTGGTGGAACCTGGGGCTCTACAAGCTGGGCCCTGCCCATTCACTACATGGCATTTCTGAGAGCTGGCAGGGGCTGGAGGTGGGGGTGGGGCCCGGGCATAAAGCTTGCTGAGGGGCCCATGTCTTCTTTCTGTCACCAGGAGGTGGAAAGAGTAACTGAGGTGAGTGGTATTGACTGCTTCCTTCCCCAACCTCATAACCAGCCCACCACTTTATAACAGAACCTGAATTTCCAGAGCCTTGGTTGTGAGTTTGCCTCCTTCCTTTTCAAAACTGAGCCTTCAAGATTCAAAATCCAAGACTGAATTTCCTGAACCTCTTTACTAAATGCTGGAAGTTTGTTCAAACAATAACCCTGACCCCCAACATCACTCTGAACTGCCCCTTGGCCCTTCCTATCTTCAGAACTACCTTCCTTTACAAACTCACATGACCTCCCAGCTAACACTGTCGTAAGAGTTCCATGTTCCACCTTCCCTGTCCCTGGTATCTCCTCCCTAGGGCTCCCCTCACCGCAGTGCTTCTGGAAGGCTTGAGGCTTCACCACCTGGCTGCAGTGGTTACACACAACCAAATAGAAGTCATCATGGGCAGGGCAGTGCCCGAAGATGGACATGTCTGCAACGACAGAAGCCCTTATCACTGGGGTTGAGGACTCAGGATTTCCCTGGAAGATCAAAGAACACTTTCATCCCACCACTCAGAAGGCACTTTGCCTTTCAGCTAACATACAACATGCTTTCTGATGGATGTTCCCAGCTTCTACAATTTAGTCTAACCAGATCCAAAGTATATGGGCTTTCATATGGGTGGGCATCAACCACATATGATTAGAATCTCCAACAACAGGTCACAAGAGCCAGGGCAACTGGCTGGCTCAGTCCTATCAGAATGAGGCTCCCCAGCAGGCTTGCTGCTTCAAGCCACATCCTCAGGTGGAAGAGGGAGGGTGGTCCTGTTTACCCTGAGTCCCAGCCCTATGTGTGTTGACTCCCACCTTCTTTAATGAGGGTCATGGCATCCAACTTCTTTGTGTTTTTGCTACTCTCCTCCAGCTCAGCCCCTGGAGGAGAAACATAGCTCAGAAGGCCCATCCCCTTCCCAAAGTTCCATCTCCTACCCCAGCAGGGCCTGCAGTCCAGCAGGATGAAGCCCACACTCCCTGACAAGCACTCAGAACCCCTGGAAAAACCTTCAGTGGGTCATTCGCATGTGCCCATTTTTCCTTCACCTGCCCCTCTGAGATGAGCTGACCCCATTAAAAAGAATCATAAGAACCCTTCACTCTAAGGTACAGTTCAGGGTTCAACTGCCGACTAGGTGGGTGACTGTGGGTAAATACCATCTCTTCTCTGGGGCTTGCTTCCCCATTTAAAAGGGAAATGGTCCTGAAATTTTTCTATAGGTCCCTGAGTCCCTTTGGGAGACTGATTATTATGGGTCCTTTCTGCTACTCTGTGGCATCCCAAACAAACACCCTCCCAGATCCCCACCCCCATAAACTCATTTTGCTCCACCCAAGTTACCATAGTATCATCAAAGTTACACTCAGCTTCTCAGGTCCTGCACTGATAGGATGGCCATAGAGTAGAGAAACTGCTGTCTTTGGGCCCTTTGGCATCTTCAAAGTCTCCTTGATCAGCTACGCAAGCCCCTCCCCTTCTTAGGGGGGCTTTGTCCAGGGGTTGCCCTTGTACCTCAGTTTCTGGGTTAATGACAAAAACATCTTAGCTGTGCAAAGCAGCTCTTTTCCCATCCCCCTACCTCACTCCTCACCCCCCTCCTCTATGCCCCCTCCCTGTCCCTTGGAAAAAAAAATCAATTCTGAGTCACCAAACCCGTCTGACTCCATTTCCGGTTCTCAATGCACCTAGACCCTGACAATGGCCCCATCTTAGCCCACTCAGCATGGGGCAGTCCCAGGGTGGCCTGTATTCCCACCTAGGTCTGCTCTCTGATGCTCGCTAACAGATTTGCCCCTCTCTAGGATGAGAAGATTATGGACAATCTTATATAATACCCAGCTATAAGTGGTGGTCGGTTAGACATGCAAAAGACAAGGGGCAGCTCCCACTCTTTTAAGTCCCTTAAATGCAAGTATGCGGAATGATGGACAGACAGAGCTGGAAGTCAGATGTCTCAAAAGAGAACAAGTGTCATTAGAGACTGCTCCATGAGATCTCCTCCAGCTCTTCTCACTTGCAAACTTCTTCAGGGGCATGATGTCTGCTGTCACCCCCAAAGGCCACGAGGCCAGGTGCTCCCTGGGGCCCAGGAGACAAAGATCAGAAGGGGCTTTCAGGCCTGCTCACCAAAGGTACTCAGGGGCCTATGTAAGATAGGGGTCAAGGGAGAGAGAGCCAAAAGGCAGGGCAAGAGGCCCGGGAAAGGACGGAGGGTTAGAGGCATGGATGGATGAACTGAAGGAGGGAGAGAGGAAGGATGGATGGATGGATAAACGAACTAAAGCGGAGGGGACGGGGGTCCAAGAGCACTGCAGCAGGCAGGCAAACGCTGAAAAGGGGACGAAGGTGCGGAGCAAAAGGCAAAGGATCAAGGGGGTGGAGGGGGGGCATAGAAGTGGGGTGCGTGGGAAACACGTGGAGAGGACTGTTGCAGATGGGGAAAGCCGGAGCAGGTGCAGGAGGAGTGGAAGCTGGAGGCCAGCAGATAAGGATAAAGATAAAGGCAAGTAAATGTGGGGGCAAGTACTGGGCACCCTCAGAGGCAGAGGTGGGCAGGGTGGGCTGCGAGCGATGAGCCGGCGCTAGGACCCAGAGGCGCGAAGGTAGCTGAGCAGGCGGGCACTAGGACCCGGTGGGTCCTTTGTTTGGGGGGCCGGGGAGTCGGACGGAGGCTCTAGTCGGCGGTTCCCCTCAGCTGGAGGGGGCCCTGAGGGGGGGGAGGGGAGATACTGATGGGGTCCCGGACTCTAGTGTGGCTGTACTCACCGTCGGCCGTAGGCAGGTCGGCCCGCTCCACCCATGAGCTCCAGCTCTGTCCCGCGAAGTCATCGAGACTCGGCACCCGCCGCTCCAGAGCGGCCATTGCTGCCGCCGCGCGTTCACGCACCGCCATCACCGCCACGGACGCGCGCCCGCCCCGGCGCCGCCGCCGCGCGGCCCCCTCCCCCCATGCCCCGCCGGGGGCACGCCTCCCTCTGCCCCTACCTTTCCAGCTCACCCTGTGCGCAAGCGCAGCTCAGGTCTCCTGCCACCACCGCCTCCTCACTCTCGCATAGCCTTCTGGGAAGTGTAGTTTCGAAGGGGCGATGATGCCTACGGAGCTGGCTGAGGGATCCCTCCCGAAAAGCACAATTGGAGAGCGAAAAGAAGAAACCAAAGCCTCGGGATCTCCTCTTCTAACCCTGGGCACACGTTCTTTGTGCCACCAGCGCACTCTCCCAAGCTTATTGCGCACATACGAGCCCCAAACCTCTCTCTGTTCAAGACGCCCCTCTAAAGCTGTGTATCCGCCAGCTGGCTGACGCCCCTTCCTGGGCTGGCGGCCACGAAGCGACTCCGCTCCCCTGTAGATCGAATAGGGTAGGTGCAGGGAGGTGGGCGCAGTGAATCAGAAGGGCAAGGGGAGGAGGTCTGTAGGATGTGTTGAAGGACACAGGGGTTGAAGTGGGGGAGGGCCTCAGCTCCTCTGTCGTTTCTCTGCGGGGAAACCCACGTTGCCTTGTTGCAGAACAGACGGATGGAGTGCCGTTGTCTGGGTTTGGGAGGACCTAGCTGAGCTGGCCAAGATCACCTGTCAGGATGACAGAAGACTATCTCTGAACCAGAACCAGCTCCAGAACTAGGGTGGCCCGAGGCTGCTGGTGTTTGTAGCGTCTCGGCTGTTCCATCTTTCTCCTCGTGAGAACTACAGTCGATACTCTGCACCGCCTCTTCCCAAACCCTGGCTAGACCCTGACTCCATCCATCATTTTGGCTTCTTTTTTCTAATGAATATTTTCGCTACTGGAAGAGCTGCTACTGAAGCCTTGGCATAGGGAAATTTCGCATCAGATGTGTCATTTTTCTTGTTAAGGTGGGGAAAGTACCTTAATAAGCCACCTTTCTTCTCAGCTGAAAACATTTCTTCCCACCTTCACACAAGACACAAAAGTCTGCCTCTACCTTCGCCACAGTCTCATAGGAAATGAAATACTAATGCTCTTTTTCTCTCCTCAGTACCTCACACATCACCCCATATTGCATCCCTTTAGCTAAAATGGATGTAGTTTGGGAGCAAGGTCTGGGACTTTAAGACCTCAGAATTTCTTCTTTCCATCTAAAAACGGTTTAAATAAATCAAGGATAATATCTGAGGGCAGAGGTTCTAAACCTGAGATTCATCCATGATCCCTAAGAGGCTTAGGAACCCGGTGAAATTAAATGTAAAACTGCCCAAGTACATCTTTCTAGGGAGTGTAAATGTAACGTGACTGTCTGTCTGAAGGGAATAGAGGTGCAAATTTGTTCAGCAAGAACTTTGTAGTAAAGAGTGGGAAGCATCTGGCCCTCAACTCCTCTTCAGGTCACAGATGGTAGGAGAGCAAATGGAGACAGCATTGTGGAAGCCACTATCTCTTGCCTTTTGAGTTTCATCCAAATTTGCTAATGAGTCTCAGTTACTTTGGACTAATTGGGTGCCACCAAAAGAGGCAATGTCACCAGACTGGGGCTTGCCAGGAACAACTGCTCAGACAGCAGACTCTGTTGCTTGGGGTGCAGAGTGGAGAGAAGTGGAATGATGTCTTGGTAGAAATGCTATTTTTTGTCCAAGAACTTAGAGCAAGGGAAAAGAAGAGAAAAAAAAAATTCCAAAGGTCCCCAGTCTTGGCTCCTTCATGGCAAATGCTCGCAGCACTGTTTATTCAAATGTGTAATAAGCACCAGAAAACAACATGCAACATTCTCCCCCACAACCACCCCTGATTTGCAGTCCCAGAAATAGGATGTCCATGACCATGATATTGAAGGGAACTCATGTCTAGAAAAGGTCCTGGATGGGCATCCCAGCAGGGTCAGAATCTACCAGGGCAGCAGCTAAAGAAACTGGACACCTTTTCCTACATCAGGCCTGACTAGGCAGAGTGGTGGTGCCAGCCTGGTTGGAGAAAACAGGAGTCCTATGAGGACAGTCCTGCCCTTGGCACTTGCCTGGGCCCAGCCCCCCTGGAGGTAATGAAGTGAACTGGCCAATCCTCTTAGAGTGGCCACATTCAGAGAGACCACAGCCTAAATCGACTCTTCTGGCGGAGAACCAACCAGCCTGTTGGTGAGGAAGAGCCTTCTGTGCCCTAGAGAGTGAGTGACCTCTGGGCTGAAAGTGATCAGCAGGAGTGGATAGCCCTCTTTCTAAAGTAGCTGATAGGCCAGGTGCTAACTTCAGCCCCCAAATGAGAACATTTTATCTGTCATTATATTTCAAATAAATTATAGACACAGAATCAAAACAAAGTTCCAGTAGAAGCTGCTCACAGATCCCCACAGGGATTTGCTTAAAGAAAAATGAAGGTCACTTCTTTGTTCTCTTTGTCTCTAGAGGTATAGGCAAAACTGCCCCCTGGTCCTTAACCATGGGGACAACTTGGGACAGAGAGTTTCAGACTTGGGAATATTATCATCCCCATCTCCTTTCTTTCCTCCTCAAATCCCTTCTCTAAAACTGAAAACAAAAACTTCTGATTCTTTTACTAAAAGACTCTGGAGTACTTGAAAGTATGACTCATACCTCCCCTGTCAAGTGGGGAATCCTGATCCAAAGAAATGAGCAACTGAAGTCAAAGGTCCTAAGCCCTGGGTACCCAAGTAATGCACATGTTGCTATGGGTGGCATTGAGGAGGGTGAGAGAGTGAAGGGGCTGATTCTGTCCTGAGGACAGGTTGGCACAGAACATATTCACCTTTGGGATGCTAAGTCAACCATGTCAGTTGGCATTACATTAGGAAATAGCTGGATTCTTCCCCCTTCATCTTTCCCTGAGCAGTCCTATTGCTGGGGAAGATTGAGGGGTTTTGAGGTGGGTATCTATCCAGTTAGCACTCTCAGGCCTGGGGCGCCCAGAGAGGGACTTGAAGGAGGTGTCAGGAAGAGGAGACACACTAAAGACAAATATGGAGCTGGGTCCCAAAGTCAAGAAGCACCAATAGCATCAGCCTGCCCTGGACTGGGGAGAGGATAAAGCCTGGCAGAAGTGAGGAAGCAAGGGAGGACTAGGTGGGGGTGCAAGAGAGGGTACATCTTTTTGTGAAGATGAGGAAGGAGAAGTATGAAAGACTAAGAAAGGTGCTGAAGGAAACAGAGCAGAGAGCAACGGAGAAATGGGCCCATCCATCCATTTCCTGGGACACTGGGGCACCTCAGCTTCATGATGGTCCTCCCAAAGCCCCTAGCTGACCCCTCAGGAATGAAAGGAAGGCCTGGACAGACTTCAAAAAGGATCTTGAATGCCTCAGATCCAAGAGGTTGGGGAAGGGAGATGGGTGGGGGTGAGTGTGGAGCTGAAATGGAAATATTCCTAGCCCTCTCATCTTGTTTCCTAACTGTGGAATAACACCAAGTCCAAGGAGGACAGAGGGAAGCAGGCTTTCATTAGTAAGTAGAGTTGAGAGTTCTGTTGAAAGTGCTACAGCCTTAGGGGATTGAGGGGACAGAAAACTGATTTTGCCAGCAACTTTCCTGACTTTCTTCCATGAAGCTACAACTCAGTTGCAGTCCATCTGCTCCCACTGAGTCTGGGCCTCAAGCAGACCTTCTAAGGACCATTTTATAGGCTAGTGGGCCTCTTTGGTTCACACACGGTGAGTGCTATGGCCAGAGAAGAGAACGGGGAGTACATTGGGCTCTGGGAGGGCTGGAGAGCAGATACAGAGACTACATGACAACCATTAAGGGGTATCGCCAATCCACTGCTGGGCCCCCACACAGGGACCAGGGGCAAGGCTGCCAGTTGAATTCCCCTTCCCTCATTATATTGAGGCTGAGCAGATGATAAAAGGGTGGCTTCTACAGATCAGTCTCAGGGCTCTATTTCCTGCCTTCACCTACAGAGAGCAAAGGCTCTTTCTCATAGAGTGGAGGGCACAAATAGACCCCATGTAAGATGCCTGGGTCCAGGCAGTAGACAAGAAGAACTGGGCTCTTGCCATCTGAGGCTCCAGCAAGATGAGGGATAGGAAGTCAGTAGGAGGGCCGCCTAATTAACCTAGACAGCTCATGCCTACCCATCTGTCATCTCAAAGCTCAAAGCCCAGAATGATGGTGGAGGGGAGTTGAAGGAGGAGGAAGAGGGAGGTCCTGGAAGCCGGAGGTGTTGAAGAGGTGCTGTCCAGTTCAGGAGTAGCCAGGTGGGGGCTGCTTACTGCTTCTCCACTGCTCCCTGCTCAGCTGCACTCTCCTGGCTGGGGCCCTGGCCCTGGTCCTGGCCCTGTCCGTGCCACGGGGTCTCTTTGAAAACAAACCAACAGTTTCCGGCCCACAGGAAGAAGTTGATAAAGCCGAAGAGCTACAAAGGAATTCAGGGAAGTTTGTGAGAATAGTAAAGGAAGAAACACTTGAGAACAGGGAGGTCTGCACTCAGAGATCTGGATATAGAGATAGTATTCAGGGCCTTCGCCTATCCTTGGTGAAAGTGCCTAAATTCTGCCCAGAGCATTCATCCACAGTGTCTCTCGGTCACTAGCTGAATCTGACCCCTGGAAAGCAAAGTATAGCGAGGAGCACACATGGGGCCTGTTTGGAGCACCTTTCACGACTTGGGGATGGCTGGAGCTGTCCAAGGTACTCCTCTAGGACTAGAGACTCGGCTAGCACTCTAGTCAAACGTTTGTTGTTTTTCTTATTGTTGTTGTTTGTTTTCTCTACGTGCCCAGACTGTCCTAGAACTTGCAGTCCTCCTGCCAGACTGTTGGATTACAGGTGTGTGCCACCACACTGGCTCTATTCAAATATTTATTTTAAATATTTTTAAAAACCTAACAACATAAAGTATTTAGGGGGAAAGGCACTGATGTTTGCAATTCACTTTTCTCGATGCATTTAAGAGTGGGTCGATAAGCCAGGCATGGTGGTTCACACCTGAAATCCTAGCATTTACAATTAAGGAAGGAAAATTGTGAATTTGAGATGAGCTTGGGCACATAACAGATCCTTACTCAAAACACAAAACAAAACAAAAGCTAAGTCTGGTGGTGCAAGTCTGTAATCCAATACTTCAAAGACTGAGGCAAGAGGATCATGAATTCAAAGTCAGCCTAGGCTACACAGTGAGTTCAAAGTCAGCCCGTGTTGCATAGCAAGATCTTGTCTAAAAACAAAAGCAAAAACAAGGATTGAAAGATTTGGAAAGATGGATAAATGTTAATGATGTAGGTATATTGAAATTTTACAGGTGAGTATATGGGCATTAGCTGTAAACTCTGTGTGTGTGTGTGTGTGTGTGTGTGTGTGTGTGTGTCTGTGTGTCTGTGTGTGTCTGTGTGTGTGTGTCTGTGTTAGATAGAGTCTCCCTGTAGCCCCATCTGGCCTGGAACTCACCGTATAGAACAGGCTGGGCTCAATCTCACAAAGATTCACCTGCCTCTACCTGGAATTAAAGGCATATACCACCATCTCTGCCCCTATAAATTTCTTTCAACTTTTCTGGATATATGAAATGTTTTACAATTAAATGTGGGAAGAGAGGGGCTGGAGAGACGACTCAGCAGCTAAGAGCACTGGTTGCTTTTGTAGAGGACCTGGGTTCTGTTCCTGGCACCCACATGGTGGCTAACAACCATCTGTAACTCCAGTTTCAGGGGCTCTTATACCCTATTCTGACCTTTGAGGGCACTGCACTCATTAAATGCCCTTACCTACTTGCACGCAAAATACTCATGCACATAAAATAAAAATAAATTTAAAATTTTGTAAGTGGGAAGAGAAACCTATATACAGGGTTTCAGTAAATTCCAGAAGGCTCCCTGGTGCACTAACCATTAAATTGTTCAATTGTGGGTCTTGAGGAAATCTGAGACATTTTCAGAGTGGGTCTGAGGTGGCTGAGATAGCAAGGGTGTTTGAGAAGCTGAAAGCCCTAAGTATTTACCAGCTTATATAGACTTCTACATTATAATAAAAGTTTGTCATCTGGACCCACCACTGCCACCAAAGCTCCATTCTGGTGGAAAAGGTTAAGTGACAAGATGCCCCTTCTCACACTGGTTTGCTCACAGTGCTGAGCCCAGCTACAGTCCTAAGCTTGCCCTGCACATGCTCCCATGTGACATGTGGTCACCCAGGCAGGAAAGGTAGGTAATCTCCAGGGCAGCTAAAGGGGGGAAGGAGAAGTGGTGAAGGGGAGTGACTCTCAGATTTCAAACATTTCTTCTCAGGTCAACATCCAGTGCAGCTGAGGCAGAGGTACCAGCTGTAGGGACACCTACTCTGTTCCTCTCAGGACCTGCTAGCTGGGGCAGCTGAGCTAATGCCTTCCCCAGTCCCCTTCATTGACCACAGGTCTCACCACAGAGATGTTAGCCAGCCCCATTGAGGGTGTGGCCCCGGCACTGCACACTGCATCTTCTCCATGGCACACAGACATGGCTGCAGTCAAGCTGGATGGCCGTGTGGCCCCTTTTACATCAGTCAGTCCCTTTCCCCAGGCAGCTGCAGCTACTAGCCAGAAGAAGGTGAAGGAGACAGTCACACAGAAGTCCTAGGAGGAGCAGAGGGAGGGAGACATACTCAGAAAGGCTCCATGATTCCCTATTTATTTTCCTCTTGTCACTCACTAGAATCCCGAGGTCCCAAGTAAGGTGTCTCTTCCCATCCTACCTGATACCCAAAGCCTCAAGGAGCCCATATGGCCTGAGGACTCTGTTCAGTGCCACCAAAAGAATGCTGCCACTTCAGCTGCCTTATCCCTGCTCTCAGAATTAATGTCAGGCAATGAGTTGCCATGATATCTGCAGGCGAGTCTCCTCCCAAGCCCAAGTGACCTAAGCTCTCCACTCTCTTCTTCAAGCTTCTCCTTTGATCACCATTGTTCAGCTATAAGTAATGACAGAGGAAAACTCTGAAGACCGTTGAGGTTCTCTAGCGCATACCTTATACCTTGCATGCTTGGAATACAAAGAAAGTAGAAGTAATAATTCTAAAAATAGCTAACTTCTATTGAGGAGAGCTATGTACCAGGTACTGTACATAATGCTCATTTTATCCTCCTAAAATGCTATGAGGTTGGCATTATTTCATCCTCATTTTACAGCTGAGGAATTAGAAATTTAGGGAGGCATAGTAACTCATATAAGGTTACACAGCTACTAAGAGCCAGTGCTGGGATTTGAACTCAGGTGGGCTGATTCCAGAGCCCTCCTTCTTTAAAATGCTGCTGTGCTTCCTATGAGCAGAAACAAATGATGAGAGTGTTGGTAGAGGCAGAGGTTCTCTTCCACTCATAGGTGTCAAGGACTCAGAAAGCCATCACTTTCAATCTCCCCTCCATCTCCGACCTCAGCTCCCTAACAAATATCTCCTCCATTTCTTGACCCTATCCCTCCGGCCCATGCTTACTCACCACCAGCGGGAAGCGTTTGTTCTCTCTGTAGAGGTTGTGAAAGCGCAGGTAGAGGACTAGGGCAACCATGGTATAGAAGAAGGAAAAGATGCCAAGGGTAACGAAGAACTCAGCGGGGGCAGAGAAGTCCCCCATGAGATGCATGGTCTTGGAGGTGGATTCATCATCACAGAGAGGCATCTCATACTGGACCCGGTGCAACCTGTGGGTGTCAGGGAGACCATCCTGAGCTAGGGCCAGCCCCTCCCTCCCTGCCTCAGGATGGCTCCCATGCTAACTAGTTCTCACTCTAGGAAAGGAGTCATGTATGGAGGAACTTCTGAGGAAGCCTTGCAGTCAGGACAGGAACTGCCTCAAGTGTCCCCCACCCCCATATATACTGGGGATTGAACTTGAAGTCTCAATTATGCTAGGCAAATGCTTTACCACGAGCTATAGCCCCAGCCTATGACTTCATTCAACCCTGTCTTTATCAGCAGCAACTCCACACTTATCCATATGAACAGAAATGGTCATACTACATTTCCATGTATCTCCAGCACCATTTAGACCATAACTATAACACACACACACACACACACACACACACACACACACACACACATACAAAAATAGTCACATCTATTTCCAGTAGCCAAATCACTTGGCAAATCAGAGGCGTTCTGCCCTTGGGAACATTGGGAATATACAAGCCTACTTTACATAGTGGCTAAGTTAAGGTTTGGTCCATTCGCAGACCTCATTTAGGCTTCTCAATTTGGCCATATTGGACAAAATGAATTTTAAAAATGCAGTCTGTTTTATACAAGAGATACTAAGTTGGAGGCTGATACTAGGCATTCTGAAAAGGTGAGCTCTATATTCAACCTGTTCTGAACATTCAGCCCCCTCCCTAAGCTCCCAAATACCCAAGAATAAGTATTATCTTTTCCATTTAGCCTTGTATTTTGGTGATATCAGATAAGCATCTTACATCCATTCTTTAATATCTAAGAGCTAACAAGCTTCCTTACTTCAAGGCACAGAGGAATCTGCAGAGGGTCAGAGAGAGCTGCTAAACTCACCTAGACTTTTATCACCCTTCCTTCACTGGCTGGATTCTCTCTATCTGCACTGTGGTGACCTGTTATTGCTCATACTTGGACTGGACCACCATAACAATGATCTATCCATGTTTTACTCTGGCCAGAGTGTCTGAAATAGCTAAAGGGTAATAATGATCCAAGCCTTACCATTCTATTTTGATCTACAATGGCACATAACAAATTATCTCCAGGTTTCAGAGGAGGAAGAAAGTCCTGCCAATCTAATGAGAAGGGTGTGCTGGATCAGAACCAATTCCTGATTACCTGAAGGGATAGCCGAACAAAACAATGATGGCGCTCACGTCCTTGGCTTCGTTGTTACAGCGAACCAGGGCTCCTGTCTCCCCGCTGTAAGAGCCGCAGGACCCGAAGGCGAAAATGGCAAAGAGCTGAAGGAGAGAGGGGGCGCTCTTTGAGAGTGTGATGGTCTCACCTGTCCAAGGTAGGAGCCACCCCTTGGCTCCAGTGGGTGCAGATGCTGAGTGAGCAGGGAGTAAGGATTCTCTTTATCCTGTTCTTCCTGCCAAGGCTGTCATTCTTCTTTCAGCTCTAGGTATTGTGTTCACTGAACAGGTGTTGGACCAAGTAAATAAGGTGGGCTTTGAGAAGGGTCTCAGAGGGAGAAGAGAGAGGAAATAGATTGTTTCCAGATCCCCCCACGGGCATGGTATTGGGGACCACACAGAGCCCCACCAAGATGATGACTAACATAAACCTCTGTAATTCCAACACTGGAAACTTCTATTTCAAAGCTAGATTTTTTTCCCTCTAAGTGAGAGACCAGAAATATACCCCCCTTCTACTGACACAGAGCAGGCAGGCCTTCAATGTCTTTCATTTAATTTTATTTCCATTTCTCCTTTGGATCATCATGGTATCTAGACCTTACTTTGTTGCTAACTTTCAGGGATTTCCTACTTATTGGAGGTACAGTGGAAGCAACAACGTCTACCAAGCCATCCCATGGTTCTGCTAGTCTAACTTCTCCTCCCTGAAGTGTATTTCCTTCCAGCAACAATGCTGGCTGGGAGAATGCTGACAGGTCTGGCTCAAGCCCAGAGAAAAGTCCCTCCACTTGTCTTATCAGCCTCTATTATTTCTCCCTGCTGTTTCTCTTTGTAATCTGTTGATGCTGCCATTTCTCAGTGTTAGGAAGCAGAGGTGTCTCAGACCACTAGAATTGTTTTCTTCTCCGCCTTTCATCACATTTGACTACCTTCTGTCTTGAGTGAAATAAAATGCCCCCATTGCTATGATTCTCACATTTCTTTCTGGGTGGGAAACAGACTTTGGTTAGACCAGAATGTAAGAAATTGGAATCTCTTATTCTCTCCCACACCATCTGTTCAGCCCTGTTTCCTATGCACCTACCTTTGACTGTTATATGATGTAATTATTCTTATTAAAACAGTGAATTTATTCTGTTGTCTGTTTTCTGTCTACTTCTCTATGGTTCAGTGTTTTGAATATCAAGCAGGTAGAGAGCAGCAGTCTACACTCCGGGCCTGGGTCCAGAGTCAAGAAGAGAGTTGTACCTTATTTTGCTAATGCTTGTTGGAGTGAAAAGAAATCTGGACTAGGAATCAGGAAACCTGGGTTCTAGTCTTGGCGCTGTCACCCACTAGCTAGATGACTTGGCTCTCTGAGTCTCAGTTCCCTTGTCTGTAAATGAAGGACTTGGGGATAATCTAAAGTCCGCTTCCAGCTCTGGAATTCTTCCATTCTCTGAAGTTAATGCTATCAGCAGAGCTTGCTCTTGGCTGGGTTAACCAACAGCTGTGCTCTGCCCCTGGGTGGTATCTGGTGCCACTGCCCTGCCTTGCATGGCCTGGCCTGGCAGAGCTCCATGCTGGAGCCATTGAGTGCTCTCTAAAGGTCATGTGTGCCTCTGTTTTCAGGCAGTTTGGTCCAGACGAATGAGAATTATCTCTATCTGTAAAGATAGCCAGGAAAAAAGATGGTGCAACTTGCCTGGAATACCTATGTAACCTCCACATCTGAATTAAACTCTGCAGGCTGCAGTAGGGCACTTTTTGCTTACCTTCCTGACAGAGCCAGAGAGAAGTCACTGGAAGCCTCAGCATCATTACCCTCCATATACTTAAAGCTGGCCTCTCAAGTAAAACAGTAGAACTTCTCTAGCTCTTCCTTGGAGGAATTTTCTCATCTTGGTTTACTCTATGACTGTCTGATTCCTCCTAAAAGTTTCTTTATTCTTTTGGTTTCTGGTACCCAGAACAAGGCACAATTAGGGTGTCACATTCTAGGAAGGGCAGCACAGTTGGAAATGTATTTTTATTCACTGGCAGTTAGTCAGTGAGGGGCTCCTTCTAGTTGCCCTAAAGAAGTAAGAAGTAGAGCAGGAGAGATGGTTCAGTGGTTAAGAGCACTGTCTGTTCTTGCAGAGGACTCAGGTTCAGTCCCCAGCACCCACATGGCAGCTAACAACTGTCTGTAACTCCATTTCAGAGGATCCAACATCTTCTGGCCTCCAAAGGGCATTGCATGCAGGTGGTATACTTACATGCATATAGGCAAAACACTCATACACAAAAAAATAAGTCAAAAAAATTTTTTAATATTTTATTTATTTTTATTTTTGTGTATGGGTGCATTGCCTGTGTGTATATAAGTGCACCCATGTTGTGCAATGCCTGCAGAGGTCAAAAAAGGGCATTGAATTCCCCTGGAACTGGAATCATGGATGGTTGTTAACTGCCATGTGGGTGTGGAGAATTGAACCTGGGTCATCTGCAAGAGCAACTAGTGTTCTTAACTACTGAGCCATATCTCCAGCCCCTCAAAAATGAATTTTTAAAAAATTCTGCCTAAATGGTGACCTTGAAGGTCTGAAAATTATGAACTCTGCTCTGATTCTTCAAAAGGCAAATATATCCATAATAACTTCACTGCTCACTCTGTCCTTTTCTATACTGATTCTCTGAAAGTTGGAAATATCTAAACATTATCAATTGTTGATGTGTTTTATTTTTCAGAATATATGTTTGTTCGTTTATTTTGCGGTGCCAGTCTTAAGCGTGCTAAGCAAGTGCTCTGCCATGAATCCAAATCTCCAACTCCAGAACATGTATTTAAATCTGTGGTGCCAGATAGCAGACAGTTAGTAGATAACAGGAAAACCTGAGGAGAGTCTCACAGGTTCTCAGAGCAGCAGAACAAAAAAGACCTGAGATGATCAAGCCATTTTGCTTCTGAAAACTGAATCCCTCCCCTCCACCATTAAGCAACTTCCTCAAAGTCACAGTTAGCTAATGTGAGAGCTAGGCTTCAAATTCCTGTCTCCTGATTCCCTGTTTATCCTTTCTGCTTTATTAAAGAGGCTTATTAAGCATCTACCTTGTGCCTTAATGTGAGAGGTCTGAAGATGAGTAAGACCAGGCTCCCACTTTCAAGAACACTCACTAAGAAAGAAGTATCATGTTAAAGCAATGTATCAAAAGACAAACAAGGAGCTTTGCACCACAGAGTTCCTAAGGCTGAAACAGAGGTCTTTTCTGTGTGTGGTGTGTATTACAAGGAGGAAGGCATTAGTCCTGTCCTGGGCTGCAGGAGCACATACCTGCCAAACTGCTTCACAGCTTCTAACTCTCCACCTTTCTTTTTCAGATTTGCTTCTTGACATAGGTAGGAACCAAGCCCTAGTGAAACAACTGAAACCACTTCTGTCACTGCAACAAGGCTCTGAGATAAATTGATCACAAAGAACAGCAGCAAAGATGGAGGCCTTTAAGCAGGGAAATTTCTGGAATTCTGATGCCAACCAATTTTCTTCCTCTTAGACTTGCATCACTGGGAAAAATGATGATCATACTTTGCCTTCTATTTCCCCCTCGCCTCCTTCTGCCTCTGTCTCTTTTGCAAAGTTAGAATGATTTTCCCAGTTTAAGGCTGAGACTGTACTCTGATGACTTTCTTGCTGGTGATAATCCTTTGTCAGTCCAGAGAACACTAGCCATCAAGGAATGCAAAGAACAGGAGCACAAGTTCTTTCCCTAAATTCTATTCCACAATTATCTATTGATTTTATGGACTCTGATGGTGCCCATTCAAATTCTCCAATTAAAAAAAATGGAAATAAAATTTAAAAACAAAGAACAAAACCAAATTCTCCCAATGAAATAACTTTTTTTAATTACAGATACTAGAGTCAAATAAATTATCTTGCCCCCCAAAGGTGAAAACCTTATCAGAAGAGCACACTTAGATAAAAGTAATATGACCTATTTGTAAGGAAATGGAATCCCACATGACTGAGTCACTCAGATTCTTTTGTACCTTATAATCAAGCTGAAGGGTTGGCAGTGACATTTGCGTAATCTCACCAAAGGTTAAGTCCAGCAGGACAGTCTGCATAAGGAGGAAAATTAAGGGAAAGAGGAAGTTTGGAAATAGGAGAGAAGGGAACCAATGTTTATGGAATCCTGCTTACTGTGATCTTCAGGATGTTCTATGAATTACAGACATTACTTTCCATAATCCTCCCAATGAACCTTGAAGACAGGTCTAATCCTCACTTACATATAAGGAAACTATGACACAAAAGGATTTCATCACTTACCCAAGTTTTCAAACTAGAAAACAGAGGAAATTTAATTTAAGTAAAAGCTTATCTGATCTCAGTATTTTTCTTAAAAAAAAAACAAAACAAAAAAACAAACAACAACAACAAAAAACTAGTTCTGGGGCTGGAGAGATGGCTCAGCAGTTAAGAACACTGGTTGTTTTTGCAGAAGACCTAAGTTCGATTCCCAGCACTCACATGGCAGCTAACAACTGTCCATAACTCCAGTCCCAGGGGATCCAACAGCCTCTTCTGACCTCTGCAGGGATTGCATGACACAGGTGCACTTACCTACATGCAGGCAATGTAAGCATACACATAAAAATAAAAAAATAAAAACTAGTTCTTGGGGCTGATGAGACAGTTAAGTGGGTAAAGGCACTTGTTATGCAAGCCAGGTGGCCTGAGTTCTATCCCCCAAATCTATACAAAGGTAGAAAAAAGAGAATTGATTCCCCAAAGCTGTCCTCTGACTGCCGCATGAGTGTGTGCACACATGTATACACACACACACATACACACACACTAATAATTTTTAAATAAATAAAAAACTAGTTCCCCAATAGCTGGTCCATATATGGCTGGCTTGGTATAGATCTGGTGAGACCACAGAATTGAAATCGAGGTGAGATTAATTTCTGAATTTTAACAACACTCTAAACTAAGCTCCTGACTCATACAAGATTTACATCACTTTCTTCTCACAGAATTCCAGTAAAATCTTTGCCTTTTGGTAATAATGATAACAAAAATGTTCACTTATCGTAATAACTACAAGATTTGTGTTTTCTGTTTCTCCTCCTCTGGACAGGAGCATTTGATTCCTCCAAGCAGAGGATAAGGTTAAAAACAAATAAACAAACAAAAAAACAAAAAGCAAAAAACAGGTGACATTTTCACTGCAATTTCTGGTATTGGTTCCTATATACTTTTATGTTGGCTCATCTATGGGGATTCAAAGCAAGCAAAACTTGTGCCCTGAATTTAAACTGCCTGGGATAGCATTAAAAGCAAATCATGGCTCCTTATGATGCTACCCTGTGAATGAAGGCTAGTTCAGAATCTATCTCCAGGAATCTGATTTAGCAGCATGAGAGGAAGAGGGCTTCTGTTTTGTATAATTCACTTTGTATGAAGTTGAAGATCCTAAAGCCAAACAAGTCTTAGCTCTAAGGCATCAGTACTGACCTAGGGATGATCACCCTAGGAATTGCTCTGTACAACCTTTAAAGCAATACTGAAGGAAGTGGTGGTGCGGAGGATAGCAGAATTAAAGAAGCTTTTCAGAATTCTCCCCTTCTTCACCAGGAAGACAAGTCCATGGTCTGATAACCTCCTTCATCCCTTGACAGTCTGTCTCAAATGTCCATTGGATCAACTGGTACCCTTACGTTTCAGGGTCTGCTCCTCTGGGTTGCTCACAATGGCTCCTTAATTCTGGGTGCCAGCTCTTTGGAGTCTTACCACTCTTAAATGGTCCTCTCTGGTACTCAAGCAGTTGGGCAGAGCAAGGAAGGGCAGGAAGTAAAAGCTTAGTCAGCAGTTGGCCCCACCATTCTTGAGGCAGTGGAGAAAGTGGAAATTCCCTATCAGGTCCCAGAATTTACACTTGAGAGACTCTCTCAGGCTGTCCTGCAGCTGGTCAAGGTCTCATACACAGAGATAATCCCAAATGTACTATTGCCCCTGAACTCCAGATTTGATGATCCTCATCCAATTCACGATTATATAGGACTTGGTGACATAATGCTAACTCCTATCTCCGGTGTGTTCAAAGTTCTTTAGAACTCAGTCCTCCAACATATTAATGGTAAGTTGCTCCCTAACTGAGTTCTGTGCTGGGAGCATACTGATTAATTTGTATACCATTTGGTATATGGATTACCTAACAAAACCCTTTCTGAAAGAATGCACTAAATGTTCCCCAACTAGCTTTGAAAAAAAAACCACTGCACCTGTTCATGTTCCTAATTTGTAACCAGGAGATCTTGAGCGCTGGATTTACGAACAGAGATAATCTCAATGTCTTAAAGTACCAGTGAAGCAATGAGGTGGTATTTCCACTAGACCAAAACAGGGGAAATTGAGTACCTGAGCAAATGATTTCAAGGTCAAAGGTAAATTTAATGTAAAGCTATATTGTGGCATGCTAACAGATTTGATCCACATTTGATTAATGTCTGAAACTGATGCCGGGAGAAGTGACTTGCCCAAGGTCACAGAACCAAGATGGTCTAGGCCTGCACCCTAGATGCCACCTCCAGAGCAGTGTTATCTTAATTCACCAGTTTTAGTTATGCTGTGTTTTTTCTTGTTTTAATTATTTTATTTAACCGCAGGACTGGCAAACCCTGTTCGTTCATTCATCTGCTGCCTTACTCAGTTACAGGTACCCAAATTATTCCAGTGACCTCAGCTTGGAATCTATCCCCTTAGTCCACCCCCAGGATCATCCAGGTCCTAGAGGGTTCCGGACAGGATGGTTTCTGTAGCCCTCCTCCTTCCTCCTGTGCCCTCTGTGGCTTTGCTCTCCCTGCAGAGCGGACCTTATCCTGCCCGTCCTCCTCACCCCTCCCACCACCAAAGAGTGGTATGTGCAGGTTCAGAGTTCTGGAAAGGTTCACTCGTCCGAGTGAAATGTGAGCACTCTGGGCAAAGGCGCCTTGCACATAGAAGGTCTGAATCCGGGACTCCTGGCTCCGCTGGAGAAGCAGTCCCAGTCCACCCCTCCCCCTTCCACCTGTCGCCAGCCCCCCACCCCCACCCCACCCCAGCCTTCAGCAGTGGCAGGGGCCTGCTGCATCTCCCCAGCCTCCACCCCAGCCACATTGCTTTGGGTCAGCGTCACAGCCTAGGCTCCCGAAATAGCCCGGGGCTGGGGCAGAGACTCACCCACTGGAGAACTTTGATGAAGCCCAGCGGCTCCTCCAGTCGTCGCCAGCGCAGCCCCACGAGCAGGCGGTCCACCTGCGGAGACAGAGGCAGCAGGCGGTCAAGGCGTCTGGGCCAGGGGAAGACACTGGTCCCTTTCCTCCCGGTTCTCACACTGAGGCCGGGGATGGACTGAGACTCGGGCGGGAGGTCTAGGTGGACCAGGAGAGACGAGCCAGTCCGAGGCGCGGCGTCCGGGGAGTACCTGCTGGCGCGGCGACTTGTCCGCGGCGCGGCCGGGGCTCTCGGTCGAGGACATGCTGCAGCGGAGCCGAGGCGCAGCACTGGGGCTGGGTTCCCTCGCCGGGAGACTGCGTGGAGCGCGTGGGAGCTGGGGGCGGCGGGCTTGTGGCGGTGGGCAGCCCGGGATCCAGGCTGGCTGGCTGGGTCGAGGGGGCGCTGCTGCTCGCGCTCGCGGAGCTGTGGCTGCGCTGCCCCGCCGGCTGCAGAAAGCCCCCGAGCCGGATTCAAACTTCTGTCAAACTCGCAGGCGGACTTGGCAGCCGAGTCACGTGGAGCGGAGCTGGCCGAACCCGGCTCCCGCCCCCTCCGCTCCCCTTTTTCCAAGCGTAGGGAGCCTTAAAGGGACCGGTGGCCCTGCTGGCCATCGGGCCTCCAGAGGTCTCAGAGTCTTTACCAGAAGCCTCCGGGGATTGTCCCCACTGAAGCACAGCAGCGTCCCCATCACCACCGTCATCCGAGACCCACCCTGGGGCATCTAGGTCAAATATGACATTTGTATGCTAATGGTTTTAGAGTTATTAAACTTTAAAAAGAAAAAACTCAATCTCCTTTAAATAGCTAACACTACTTGAATGAGAGTGAAGTCTCTGAGGATTTGTGGGCACAAAGATTGTAGTTTGTATTGAAAAGTTGGCAGCGTTGCATTTTGATTGACTTTGAATCTGCCTCGATTTCAATAAGTGTTCTGCAGGAACCCAGAGTAGTAGTGAATGTTACACATTGGGTTTACAAGGAATGTGAATCTAAGCAGTAAATGGTGACTTAATTTAACCAAGGTCTCTGAGTGAGTAAGCCAGTGGGCAAAGACCCAGAGGAGGGAACCAGCCTCAGCTTTCTGGCTCCAAACATACATCCATCAAAGTCAGTCCTTGATGATAGCCACCCCAGCATGTCAGAACCAAGGTTTATGACATTACTATTATTTATAAAACTCATTAAGTTACCTCCCAAGGTTGGGGATGAGTGGGTGGGGCAAGCAGCTCAGGCTGGGCTTGAAGGAAATTTCTGTAGTAGATTTTCAAGCAAATGTAGGCTAAACAAGAAATTGCTGAGGCCCCAGTCCAACCCTTAATATTTTATGAGGGCTGGAGAGATGCTCAGCCGTTAAGAGCACTTGCTCCCAGCATCCACAAGGTGGCTCACAAAACTGTAACTGGAGTTAAAGGTGATTGGATGCCCCCTTCTGGCCCCCATGGGTACCAGGCATGCACATACATACATACAGGCAAACACTCATACACTTAAAACAAGAGTAAACAAATCTTTAAAAATGTATTTTGCTGGGACCTGGAGAAATGGCTCAATGCTTAAGAGTACTAACTGCTCTTGCAGAGGACCCAAGTTCAATTCCCAGCACCCACATGGCCACTAACAACCTTCTGTAACTCCAGTTCCAGGGGACTGAACACCCTCTTCCAGCCTCCATGGGCACTGCTTAACAGCACCCACATGGCCACTAACAACCTTCTGTAACTCCAGTTCCAGGGGACTGAACACCCTCTTCCAGCCTCCATGGGCACTGCTTAACACAGGTGCACTCGCACACATTTGGGCAATACATTCATACACATAAAATAAAAAGTAATAAAAGATATTTTTAAAAGCTGTATTTTGGCATCTTTAGTTCCTGACTACGGAGCAATTCTGTTCCACTGACTTCATCATGAAGACTGGCTGTGGTCTGTAAATGCCCACACCACAAGGATATGCATAACATACATTACCAATGTCCACAGTAGAATAAAGAACACAACATAGTCAGAAATGAATCAAAGTAATACAGCAAGAACCAATGCACCCGGCCAGCCTTATTGTGCTTTAACAATTTTTCTTCTTTTGCCTTAAGTCCATTACTTTTCTATCCTGAATTTGGGTTTTTAAAATCAGTCTCATGCATGTTTAACACTCTCTCTTTCGTGTATGTGTTTATATGATTATATCTAGAATCATTATATAAATGGTTTATCATAATACATTTTCAAATTGTTTTAAACTTTACATTAATAGCCCTAACCTGCCTGGAACTTGCTGTGTAGACCAGGCTGACCTCAATCTCACAGAGATTCATCTGTCTATTCTGCCTGAGTGCTGGTATTAAAAGCATGCACCACTATGCCTGACTTGGTTTGCTTTTTAATTTTTTTCTTTAGATTTATTTATTTTATGTATAGAGTGTTTGCCTGCATGAGTGTATTGGCATCACATGTGTGCAGTGCCCATGGAAGCCAGAAGAGGGCCTAAGATCCCTTGGAACTAGAGTTTAGGATATTGTGAACCACCATGTGGGTGCTGGAAACAGAACCAGGGTCCTCTGCAACGGCAACAAGATCACTGAACCATCTCTCCAGTCCCTCAACTTGCTTTTTAATTTGATAATGTTTAATGGTTATCATCTGGCCTGACCCATGTAGCTTATGTTTTCATTTTAGTTATAGAGAATTCCACCATATACATAAACTACAGAGCATTTGCTTACTCTCATATTGATGAGCATTTGGCTTATTGCCAGAAGTCCACTCTTAAAACACAGTGTTGTGTTGAATATGTATATAGTTTCTTGTGTACAGGTGCCTGAGTTTTTACATGCACTGAATTTCTAATGCGTGTGTGTGTGTTTATATATGTAAACATAAACTCTGGTAAGAAATACATTTTTACAACCTGATCCATTATATAAACTGAAACAGGGTTGTTGAGAAACAGGGGTAAAAATGTTTGACATGAAAGCCTATTGACGTAGGTTTGGTCCCCAGAACCCACAGTGGAAGGAGAGAGCAGACTTCCATGTGCACATACACACTAATAATAAATAAATCCAGTTTAAAAAATAATAAACTGAGACTGGAGAGATAGCTCAGTGATTAAAAGCACTGGCTGCTCTTGCAGAGGACCTGGGTTTAGTTTACAGCGTTTACAGGACCCACATGGCAGCTAACAATCTCTGTAACTCCATTTCCAGGGGATCTGACACCCTTTTCTGACCTCCACGGTTACTGCATTCACATGGTACATTTACATACATGCAAGCAAAACACTCATACACACAAAATAAAAATAAATAAAATAGGGGCTGGAGAGATGGCTCAGCAGTTAAGAGCACTGACTGCTCTTGCAGAGGACCCGGGTTCGAGTCCCAGCACCCACATGGTGATTAAAAACTTAACTCCAGTTTCAGGGGAATCCAAAGCCCTCTTCTGACCATGGCATTGCACAACACGGGTGCACTAAAATACATGCAGACAATATACTGATATACATAAAATAAAAATAATAAGTAAATATTAAATAAATAAAGAGATTTTACAAAAGTTATGTATTTCATTTCATTAAGCAATTCTGGTTACATAGAGGCAGATTAAAGTTTTTTTGCACCTAAAGTTAAAACAAAATTCTTTTTAATTGTACTGTTGTGAAGTTCTTTAATTTTTACATTTATTTATTTATGTACGTATGTGAGGGTGTATGTGTGTCACAGTGAGTGTGTGGAGATCAAAGGACAACTTTCAGGAGTTGGTTCTCTCCTTCTATCATGTGGGTTCCAGAATCAAACTCAGGTCATCATGCTAGGTAGCAAGTGCTTTTAGCCACTGAGCCATCTTGCTGTCTCACAAAATTCTTAGCACAAAATTAATCAAGCCTTTGAAATGTGAGGCCTGAATCCTGAGCCTTTCAGGATAGGGATTTACTATCAATCGACAATCCAGTCATAGTGGGTCTCTAGCAGCAGTTTGATAAACATTGAGTATACTTCAAAGGGAACTGGGTAGATAATAAGATACGGACATTTTCAACTTTGAGCTTTAACAAATGTACACACTCATGTGACCGTCACCATTTTTAGCGTTTCAAAGAGCTTTACAGCCAATCTCTAGGCAGTCACTAGCCTTCTGTCATCCTAAGTGAATTTTGTTTTTCCTAGAATTTGAAATTATGTGATATGTACTCTTACTGAAATAAATGATTGAAATGAATTTCAAATGGACATATATACTATGTCCTCTTCGGTATCTGGGCTCTTTCATTCAGCAATGTTTTTGCTATTCATCCATATGGCTGCACATATCAGTAGTTTGATTCTTTTTGTTGCCGAGCAGCATTCCATAATGTTGAGTATGATGCATCAGTTAGTTTGTCCGTTCACTTTCAGAGTTCATTAGGAGTGCTTCCTTTTCTTTTGACTTATGTGTAGAACCTCGTGCATAGGTTTTTGTTTTAAATTTTCATCTCTACAGTCTTGGGATTTCTAGGTCATATGTACATGTATGTGTAGTTTTATAAAACAACTAATCCATTCTCCAGAGTGGTCACATCATTCTGCACTGCTACTAATGCGTTGCAGTGGCTTTAACTGTTCCAGAATTTGGTATTAATCGATTAGTTCACTTTAGGGTCTAGCCATTCTAAAATGTATTTAGTGACATCTCCTTGTAGGGTTAATTTGCATTTCCCTAGTAACTAAAAATGTTAAATATTTTAAAATTTATTTATTTTGCCCTTTGAATATATTCTTTGGTGAACTCTTCTGTTCAAGGCTTTGCCCTTCTGAAAATCAGACTGTGATTCCTTACTACTGAGCTACAAGAATTCTTTATATGCTCTGGATGCAAGCCCTTTGATGTACATACATATACATATATGTATATATGATTTCTGCATATTTTCTTCCAGTATGTAGTTTGTCTTTTTCATTCTTTTAACATTGCATGTGGAAAACAATGGTTTTAAATTTTAGTGGGATCTAATTCATTGTTTTGGGTTTTGTTTTTTTGGTCTTTTTCAGACAGGGTCTCCCTTTAGCCCCAAGGTCACCATGTAGACCAGACTGGCCTTGATCTCACAGAGATCTACCTGCCTCTGCCTCCCAGGTGCTAGAATTAAAGGCTTATGCCACCACTCCTGGCCCTAATTAATCAATTTTTATGATTTATGGTTTTGGCCTCATTATGTACATGGTTTGGAAGATTTATACTTCAGTACATAATTTTTAAGAACCATTATAAATGGTATTATTTTAAATTTATTTGTTTATTTATTTATTTATGACAAGGTCTTACTATATGGCCCAAACATGTAATTTTCCTGCCTCTGCCTCTGAAAGCAGAGATCATAGGCACCCACCATTACACCTAATTTAAATGTACAATTCTTCCCAACAATTGTTATTACATAGAAATATAGCTAAAGTGTTGGGGCTAAATATAACTAAAGTGTTCATTGGTAGAGCACTTGCCTAGT